TGATGTAAAGAGAACATGCAACCTAGCCTAGTCGGCAGGAAGTTGCTTGCATTTTACCTGAGGGACGGATAAATCTGCTCTATTTATAGATCACAATGTATATTAGTCATATTCCTTTTTTCTCCGTCATATTAGATAAACGCTACTTACATTTACATCAAACCTTTTACAATGTAGAATTAAGATTCAACTACGATTTATAAGCCATGTTATTAGTATGCTGGAAATATGTAAAACAACAAAAACAACAAAAACAAAGGTAGTTATATCCCGAGTGATCGGCACCCACATATGTCAATACTGAACGTTTAATGAAACTGTAGTCAGTACAAATGTGCGTATTACCTCATACGTTTATGTGTTTACACAATTAGTTGTGACGTAGTGGTAGCAACAAGTATTGCTACGTCACTGTTCTTCTCTAGTGCGTCGTCCGCTATGGCAGATCCAAACTCTAAAGTTTGATGTACGCTTTCTTTGACATGCAGCACGTTTTAACAATCCCTTATATAAGTAATGCATTACATTGGCAAACAGAGTTTATCTAAACAAAATATATATCTACGAACTGGTTAGTGTTATGTGAAAACAACCTTTTTATTTACGACACAACAGGCGTTACTCTGAGTATCTGTACTTCAAGAGGGATTTGCATCCAACTGCTGACGTGTTCCACACCCTTGTGATTACCGAATTGGAGAGATTCAATAATTGTATGACGCAACACAGTTTTCGGCACTGTGTATATACGGTAACAGTTTTCTTTATATAGTAAACCCAGTTGTAGTGTTGTATACCATTGTAAGTAAAACGTGCTGAGATTACACCAAAATAAAAATAAAAGTTAATAAAGTTTGAAGTCATAAATACGTAAAAGGAGTCAGAAAGGCCTAGCGGTCAATCGTTTATTTTCATATTTTAATTGGTTACATGGACACGTTCCCTTTGAAAAACTTATTACTTTATTATGTAATACATTTCTAATAAAAGCATAGTGCACAACCTTTTAAAAATTATGATATTTCAATCTATACTCAAATTTTTGTTTCATTTATACATTAAATTGACCAGATTAGCATTGCCTGTTCGTATGTAGAATTTATCAAATGCAATTTGATATGACATTTATAATTTAATTTCTAATTTTATCATACGATAAAGTTGCTGTATTGAAGTATCAGCTTAAAATTCATCCCTGTATAGTGGTCTCCACCGATGGACTGTATTTTAAAATTAATTTCAGACGTAGACTTGCACAAGCTCCAGTATCAGTGACAAACTGTCAAGAATTTTACAAGTTGTAGGTATTGAAAAATAACATTTGTAGATTTTTATGCGGTGATAAATTGAGTTGGTCTTCAGACAAATTAAAAATTAATCGGTATTGAGACAAATTCAACATTAATTGGTAATGAAACAAATTCAACATTAATTGGTATTGAGACAAATTCAACCTCTGAACCGCTCCGCAGTTCACTATTTGTGTCTTGACAAACTTTATTTCTCATCATATGATCAAATAACCGTGCGAGCCTCCATCTCACCCCCCACCCCCACCGGGTACAGCAAGGAGTGGTTTTACCTACAGTTTTCCTTCAATTAACTAGTCGGACAGGGGCCGATGATCTTTTCTATTTGTCTTAATAACACGTACCGCCAAGTATGGGTTTCTTTTCAAACATGGTTTATAAAAACTATTCATGGGATAAAAATGTACAATTCATAATTACAGTTTATGGATGAGATACATGTATGGGATAATTTTACAATTTTACAAAATCGATAAAAGGAGACAAATGTTGTATTACATCGCCGTACCCGTCAGTAGTTGTATTCTGAAAACGGCTCTAGGGGTTATTTCCCCTAGTTCCTTCACTAATCACCTCTCCTTTAAATGCTTATTTATTGTGATTACGAAGTGTATCGTTAGCAGTTTAATATTAACCATTTTCACCTCCGTATTCAGGTTGATATTAAACGATAGCAAAAAAAGACCATAATATTTCACTATGCATACATAGCATCGTCGCTGTTTTTGGCGCATGTTTTATTATACGTAATTGTTTAAATGTCAATATCAATTAAAGTATTATTTCACAGTTTAATATTCATTATTGTTTTTACTTTAAATGTTATTTGATAGTTAACAATGAATTCTTTTGTAAATATTCTTTTCATTTTTAGCAGTTTGCATATAATTTTACTGTAAATCCATGTATCAATTAATATTTTACTCTACTCACAATCTTTACTGTAAATAATTTACAGTTTACCATTCATAACATTTTTTAACCGTAAATTTTATTTCACGGTTTAAAATTCATAATATTTTATTGTATTTTTTCGGTTTACTATCTAATGGTTTTCAGTGTAAGAATAAAGAAGGCGTCTTCACATTTTTCATATTTTCACTGTAAATATCAGTTATATCTTAGTTAACTATACATGGTAGTTTACCACTGTACAGGCCACAGATACAGTTACAATGCGTGAATTTGTCGTTTACTTATGAAAGGTGAGTGTTTTCACTCGATTTCACACAGAAGACTTTTAACTCATGAAAAACATTTTCAAAAAGCGAAATACTATCAATTACATTACAATGTACACAGGTGAAAATCTTTCCACTCATCGATTACAAAGTAACAAAAGTGCGATACTAACAGTGCATAATACAAAATTAACATTACATAACATAACACACACTCACACTCACAATTACAAATAGAAACAGTATCATATGTGTAATAATTAGGTTCTTATCGAATTCTCATTTTTTATTATATTACCCTAAGTTCGCTATTTCTTTCGTATTTTTCACACTCAGTAGTCCAATCAGTTTACATATGTTTGGCTTTTTAATGCAAGTTTTCACAAATTTTCTCGGAAATCAAAATAACATGGGCATGCTAGATTAAAATGAAACTTATTTTCAGCATCATAGTTAACGCTACAAACGTTTAGGATTTTATTCCTATACCGATGTTTACCTCATGACATGACAGCGAAGCGTTGAAAATATGTCATTAGCCTTTTAGATTAAATCATTTTGTACCTATTTTAAATATATTTTGAGACATATTTTGTCGATTACATATACAGACGTGCGTGTTTGAATTATATATCCTGAAAGACGATCAAATCAAATGGCATTTTACAATTAATTAATAATTGGCAACATGTCAATGTCATTATATGATTCATAAAGATTTGGATGTTTTACACCTACTGTGTCCTACCATATAGCTGTGTTATTTTGCGTTTAAGACCATCGTAGTGCTATCTACCGGTTTGACACTTCTCTGCCCACTCAGTCTTATTAACGGTAGCATGAACATGAATTGGTTGTAGAAATACATTGTTCGTCTTTCACCTTTGATCAAATGGTTCAAACCCGTTGTTAGCTTAATGATTAATAACTTCTGACTTTCCTAACTGTATTCCTGTTTCAGAATGTCTTAATATCTTTATACATTCATAGATATACATATATATATTTTCTCCTTGTATCGTTTGCATTCAAATTCCAATGAGAAGCATTGGTGAAAGGTTTGAATATTCTCGGGACATGTTCTACATTAATGTAATCGCCCAAATCACACCAGCTAAATTAACCTTGTAGATTAACTGGGCCCTGGTCACTGATAGCATCAGGGCCGCATTGCTGTACTGGCTTATTTAGCGAATACATAATACCACATGTAGGTGTCTTCTTGAGATTGTCACCTTTCATGCATGATAATAAAACAATTAAACATTATAACTTAGGGACGTCGGGTTAATAGGCGATGATATCACTCTGTGCCACAAATGATCACTATTAAGATTAAAAATATATATTCATGTTAAAATACCATGAAAAAAACCCACACATGTATGATTGAATGGGTTAACAACATAAAAAAATTCATATAATGTGCCTGTTACCTTCAAATTTTGTAAGTCATTTATTAAAATGCAGGTCAATCCTTAAAAAGATAAATAAAATCTATTACCTGTAACTGAACGGGATCGGGTTATCTCAGTCTCGGGCTAAAAATATTGCGCCTCAGTAGGGATTTGGTTACAGAATCTTAACCCTCGACTGAGATAACCCGATCTCGTTCAGNTGGGATTTGGTAACAGAATCTTAACCCTCGACTGAGATAACCCGATCTCGTTCAGTTACAGGTAATAGATTTTATTAGTCTTTGGTATAACCTTGTTCGGGAGATAACTTTTAACCCGTAAAAGATGTCTGGATAAAACAAGAACTATATCTGTATTACTCTGTACTTAGGCTAATGTGACCCTAACTTAAAGGCCAAAGGTCAATTCGACACAGAAACTCCTGTGTCACATTGTCCGAGTCATGAACTTTACCTAAGTGTACCTCCATCAACCACCTGAGCTGTGCAGTGTGCTGTAATTACCTCAACTCAAAGGTAAATTTATTGCAAAATTTTCAGCGATGTCTTGTTTATCAAAATGTAATGTATTCACCGTCCCCGGGGCATTCTACACTTGGTCAAAGGTCAATTAAGTGCAATATTTTTAGCGATCTTTTTTTTATCAATGTGCTGTACATCACCAAGTCTCGTTCAACCAGACGCTAAATCACTTGGCTTTGCTTGCGCAGACAACAGGAGTCTGGTTCAACGAGACTATACATCGCCGGGACATTCACCACTAGGTCAAAGGTCAATTAAGTCCAAACCGAATGAAGCTGATAAACTGATTTTTCCCCAAAAACAAAACTCTAGACTATCGTATTGCTGTTGTTTGTGAAGGGAATCAAATGCCATCAACAGGAATGGAATAAACATCAAAACGCAAGAGGCGGAACTGAGTAGCCCAGAGGTTCCAATTTGTACCTGTTCCATACGTAGCACCCGTTCCTCGTGTATCCTTCTACTTCCGGGAAAGTATGCAGGTTACTTAACATCCAAGACATGGACAACGAGCGTTTGTTTATTTTATACGAATACAAACAACAAATACTATACGTAACTTAACATGTATTTAATATATCACAAGTATACGTCACAAATTTAACAATACATAAACATTATTGTACTATGTTTCTATTTTGGAAGTTATCTAGGTATTGTTGAACTTAAAAGACAATAATTACAATACTCATACAAAAAAGAATGAAATCAGTTTTCTAATACTAGTTATAAATGGTCGATATACTGAGCGCTGAATATGTAGGGTGCTCAAGATGAGGTCAATTACAAATGAGCTATTTTATTAGTAAAGACGGCAGACTGTAAAAGAGGCATTTTGGGATTTTACATTACTTAAGTCTTCCTGGATCCTTATAATTGGAAATATATGAATTATACATTATATCATTAAAACATGTCGATCTCAGAGTTGATTTACTTAGCTATATCATCTCACTGTTACGATATATTGGACGGTATTATACCTGAAACTAAAGACAAGTGTGATTGCACAGGTACACGTGGTCATAGCTCCATGAACAGCTATAGCACATGATGAACGCTTATAAACAAGAACGGAACACAATGAGTCGTTTTCTTGCTCGATATGAAACAGAGTTTTCTTAACAAAACTTTGTATGTATCAGCGGAGATTTGAACTCTCGAGAAAAACAGTTTCAAACTGGTATCACCAGCAAGAGTCAGAAACGTGGCTTTATGTATGCTGTTTAGTGTTCCCAAACAAGTTTACCTGGGATAGATGAGCGTTGGAATCCATCCGGCCCAGTAAAAAACATATCGCATCATTAACCGGTAGACTTAACGTATGTACAGCATCCCGCGGGAAACGTCATAATTTGGATTTTTCTTTTGATATTTTATCGGTGTAATTTCAAAAGAATCGTAGATTCAGCACGTGAAGCGTCTTTAAGAGACATACATTATGTATGGTCAGTGTTTAAAATCATAATCGTAAAATAAGTTCACGAAAACCTACAAGTCAATTATATTACGTCTGCCAATAGTGTATACCTTGTCATATACCACTGATACATTGTATAACGGCCCGACTCACTCCCGTGTGACTCACTTGTGTTTGTTGTTTAATAAAATAGTAAGGTGAATATCTTTCGCGCATTGATTCACCGCTCTACTCCACATTAAGTTTGACCCCCATATCTAAACTGTAGACAGAAAAATGCTTGTTTTCTTTATGACAAAATGCAATGTTTGGTATTTTATATAAGATGAATTTATACGAATGGGTATGTTCGGAATTTTGAAAGAATATGTGTGAAAGACGTAATACGAAGGTATATGTTCCGAATAATGATGGGATATATGTGATGACGTCATACGAACGTCTCCGTTCCGTTCTCTTCACTGTCAAGATCTTCCTCGCTGATATGACGTAGCGTGCCGTTACTGACAATGAGCGGCGTTCCTTGCCGATTACTGAGAGGCGCGTTTGGAAACGATAACAGCGACATTTCACGATACGATGAATTCGCTGGCATATATCGATATACCGGAACGAATTCGTTCCGCTTTTCTCTTTCGAGGAAGCATTCCCAAATATACCCAAACAGTTCCTGCAAGATCGCAGTGTTGGCGTTCGCAGAGAGTTCCTTAAGGACATACACGCCATCCTGCCGTAGGTAACGATGAGTGAACTTATAAGCCAATTTCTTAGAACACGCTGGCGTACCATAAACCCCTAACATATTTAAATACTTTTTGATGAAACTCTCGTTGAAAGATGGGATGAGAAATATGGCGATAGTGCAGCACAAATTAACAAGAGATAATATAGAGAGGCCGAGAAACCAAAACCATAAAGTCAGAAAGATCTTTTCGTTAAATAGGTTTATGGGCAGCACACACTGCAAGGTATGACGCTGTACGTTACTCAACTGTCGAAATTCAAGATCACACAAGGTCACACGTGGAAATCTCGGCGACATCGTCCAGTCTTTACCTTCTAGAAAGGCTTGGAAGACCTCGTATCCATACACGTAAAACTTATTTCCGAGGAATTCGTTCAAGAAAAACAATTGGCCAAACGCGTTAGCAAAGTAAAGGAACCGTATGAATAGCATTAGACTTATATAAAAGGTACCGAAGTGTCGACCACATCCCAGGGAGCAGTAGGTACTGAGCTTCTCACGGACAGGCGCATAAAACCCCGCTCTGTAACGATTTATCCCCGTACACCAAACATCCATATATGTGGCCATATTGCGCAAGCGCATTTCTCTCTCTTCCGGTGAAGAATCTCTGAAATGTTTGGCGATGACGCAGAACTTTTTCAAATCGAGACCAGCCATTGCTGTGGCGTATCTCCATATAAAACGTGGGATATAGCAGAGAAGAGCCATGAAGAACAAGGCCAACGGAACCCATTGGTAATACGTGATGTCTATCGATTCGTCCTTCCGTACTTGGTAGTTAGGGGGAATCGTTTTTGAAAATGGAATGTAATATGTATTTGACACCCAGCAGACATTCTCTGTATACCAGACCTCGTTGTCCGTAAACTCCGGGGGACACCAGCAGTATATGGGTTCGCCCACGTATTCCTCTGTCACCACGTACGTATTAAAGAACAGTAGAAAGATGATTGTGTAGTAACGGGATATCCGGTCTATATAATTGTCGTCAAAGGCCTTCCGGTATCCAGGGTTGACTATCAGAGGCCCGAGGATGTAGTCCAAGCTGAAATAGACAATGAGAATGATATAGTCCAAACTGTCACAACACAATACCAGTGTAATAAGTCAAAGCTGTAAGTGCTTAATGTTATTAAAATAGTGTATAGTTATATAATGAAATGCGAGGGAAATAGTCATTATGCTGTCCCTGGAAGACAAACTATTGCCCCAGGAACGAGTGCCAAGGATGTGATTGTAGTTTGATTCCTAATATATCTAATGGCAAAGGTTCTGAGAAAGACCAATATTTTATCAGGCTTATGAGTGTCTTTAGGAACTAGTTTTTAATTTCGTTTTTCTATATATTTACCTTTGTAATAGCACTAAGTTGAATTATTTAGACAGACTATTCTTTTTCTTCCTTTCGATCCATTACTAACAAAAGAAAATTATATTAAGTTATGTATACTCCATTTGTTTTAACTGATTTTAAAGTTACACCTGGCTTTATTACAACCGGAACCGTTGTACAAACAAATATATTAATTTGTTATTAATTTTGTAATGAGACCATTGTTAAATTATTCTTTAAAATGCATATTAAGAACATTGAATCCTCCTCAATCTATTACATAGACAACGTACCATGTATGTTTTGTAAGTACTGTTTTGTCACCAATTTTAAAGTTTTTTAAGATTTAAATAAAATATTGGATATTGTAACGGGAAACAAAGACAATGGATTTGTGTTTGGCCTGTACTTATTGAATCCCTTACAGAAATTCTTAACTATGTCATTAAAACATATAAAACATCTTTGATCAGAAGCCTATACAGCGATACACACGTAACGCTATACAAATGTATACGTCCGTTGGAAATGCCGTTGTCTATTTAAATAGAAAATGGTTTAATAAAAATGAATACATTGTAATTGATAACTAACAGTCTAGAAGTACTTAAGGTATCTTTCCATGGGAAACCCATTACTAAGCCTTATGGCACACCTGAGGGGTATGCTACTGTGTTGGGTTACCTCGTTACAGATGTTAGCTATTATATAGATACTAACTAAGTTTGTATAGTATGTCTAATCACTTAACATCATCGGCTACGCTTGTGTAAATTATTGTCTTGCTGTTTATTGTTTAATTACAGTCGATGCATTGCTCGATGAACGCAACAACCTCTTAAGACTTCTAAGAATAGAATGTTCAGTTTTGTTCATGTTAGAACGCTAATAAATGCGTTTGATCACTAATTAGATGTTGTACATGATGCATTGTCCCTACTTATACTAGTACTATTGACGAGTCCTCAATTTACTGGTGGTTAGCGCACTTGCCTTTCACCAATGCGGCCGGGGTTCGACTCCCCGATCAGACGTGAAAAGGTATGGGGTTACTTGCCCGACCACGTGGGGTTTCTCCTCCCATATAAAGCCCCTCCCCCTGCTAACATACGCACCAACGAGAGTGACTATTATAAGTTGTAATAATTCGTTTAATAATTGTTGTTATAGAAATAAAATGTATATTTAAATGGACGAAATGACTATATTGTGCAGTACAATGCTCACTTTGTTTGGCGTTCTGCCGCTTTTCCCCATTTTCCCAGGTAATACCCCCTGTAATACATATTATGATGTCCTAAACAAGACGTACACGTCTGCAAGAACAATTATCGGTGTTTGATGTAAAAATCAGGAAATGAGGACGTACCAAATACAGAAGGTATAACATCACGAGCCCTAAATATAACATAACAAACCCAATCTGGTACCAAGTACTCCGGAGGAATATATGCTTGGTATACATACAGACCGTTTCCTAGCCAGACTTCTTACACGTCTAATCTTTCAGTCACGTTTAAGTGACCAAAATCTCAAGGTTTAGAAATGTACAAGCAAGCCTAAACTGTTTCCTAATAACTTAATGGATGTTAGAAATAGGGAGCTAGCAACGACGCTTTTATAAAATTAAAACGAACCGGAGGCAACTGTTTACAGTTCTGGTCCAACTGCATAATTTGTTGATTACAAAATGTAATGAATCAGACTGGTTGAACTCACGTCACTCTGCAAACTTAATTATGAGTGATTTTGTAGCGCTATTTTACTGTCTAGCCCCCCTCAAACCCCGAAAGCTCCGCACCGACTGCAATGATGTTAAAAGAGTTCGTATCCAAACAAAATTCCGGAAATAGTTCACGATGCTTTGTGTCGGTAACTGTGTACCGGAGATAATTATATATCCATTCTGTCACGATAAATAAATTGAATAATGAACATGGAAACTGTTTTAACCTTGTAGCAATTTAGGTGCAAAAAAGGGGGTGGTCTTTAGTCACACGATATAATAATGACTATGTTTACAACACTGGAACACTTTACGGCATTATTTGCCGTAAAGTGTCATCCGGGTCTTCGCCAATAGCGAAAAAAGTTATAATTATGTGTAAGGTACATTGTCCTTATTGTATATTATTGTATGACTAGCCTATTTGTGAGGAAAAGGCATTTATTTTTGTACTAAAAGTTATAGAAGTGTGACGTTATTTTATAACGAAACTCTGTCTACATCTTTGAAGCGTAAGAATAGCTCTTCTGCGCTAAAATTGCATTGTTACAAACACGACTCTAAATAAAAATTCTTGTATCTTGTATCTAGCGTATTTAGTCTCTATACCGTGTTCCCGTCCTCGTATGAACCTGGCTGTTACGAAGACGTAAAACAACAAACAAACAAACTGTTCTGTAATACACGGAGCTTTGTGACGTTTTTTTACGTCCCTTTCATGGCACTCGTCTCGTATGATGTCACAACAGAATTCTCGAGAACACAGAACAAGAACATTACGACGGGAGGAAAACGTGAAGGCATCTGGCGATCTCAAGTACGCGCATTCACTTGTTAGAGTAATACCAAAACTTGCAGTGCCCTCATCTTGTACGGACATAAACCTATTGTAAAGCTTTTGTCTATGCTTAATTTCGACCGTTTTGTTCATAGAGGTTAACGTCCTCCTGGCCATTAACAAAAGCTGCTACGCCGAACATGTCTTTCAACTTTCTTTTGATAAGCTTGGTACAACTGTGGAAACAATTAACCCGAACATATACAGAGTACTTCGTTTTGCAGTAACGGAGATAAAGCTACAAGTTTATCATCTATAATTTTAGCAATATGTGTGTCAGTGAGTGTTATGGGTGCACCCTACTTAAATATTTCTTTTGAAACTATTTTGCTAGACAAAACATGTTTTCACTTCATTCAGTTACGCTTATTTTTGTTGTCATAGTGCAAGTGAAGGCGATGAAGGAAATTTGAAATAAAGCCATAAGTTTACAAATGGTTTCCTCTCCGTAGTTAATGTACTAAATATCAGGGGGGGGGGGGGGGGGGGGNAATCCTGATAAATTACGAAGTTTTTACGGATGATTAAGACTGCTTTAATACACTCTATTAAAACTATAAACGACAATATATCAGGGTTGATAAGACGTTCATAAAGCATTGCTCAGCTCCTCTATCAATACAGGTAAAGGGAAAAAAATCACAAACCCATCCGCGTGGACACAAAACGATGAAATAGGAACTTAAGACGACATACATGTAAATCGAACCAATTATGGATACGCACAGCAGAAGAAAACACCATACATCCTTAAATGTATTACCTATTCCAAAATTAAACAAATAAAAGTGGATTTCATATCTCAATATTTTTGTATGGAAAGCTAGGATGAACTATAAAGGATGTTAAATAAGTAAACCTAATGTTCATAATCTAATGTTGTTAAATACTGCTACAGTTTACTATAAATTGTCACGACATTGACGTATATAGGAATTCCTTGTGTATCCAATATCCATGATATGATACGCATCAACCTTGTCATATTGAAAACATTGTTACTGATAGACCCTACCCTAACCTCACAAACTCGCATCCATATATACTTACAATGTAACAACCGGCATGACTGACCCTCGGCTGTACTAGTCAAAACGTAATGGTCAATTTCCAGTCCGGAGGCTAAGCACGTTGACCAGTGTCCATGTTTTTAGAGCACAGTAATCCTGTGTTCCGCCATGTTCTGTTTGATCCACGAATTGGCGTAGTAGGGTTAGTCCAATGAGGAACGGATGCCGCTTGGATAGCTTGCTCTACAGGTGTATATATAACTAAGTATGGAAGCGTATTGCACGTTTATACGGCGCTCCGTACACGCCAGCCTGCAAATTAAACCTTCTAAATTGTGAAGCGGAACCGGCCTGTGTCGACCGATCGCCGGCGACCAGGTAGCTCAATTAAAAGGAGCGTCCGCCTTTTGTTTCAAACAGAATAAAATACGTATGCGAAACAATTATGAAACAACATGTAAGTGTTTCTGTGATTAGAGGAATTATTAGGGGAAACTGATAAGGAATCAATGTACAGACTGAGAATTTCATAAAATTGGTTCTGTGTTACCTAATACATCGTGTATTGACTGATCGAATTAAACGACTTAGTTTTAGTTGACAAATTATTTCTTAAATTTGCGCAATAACAGCGCTAAAGAGGAAAGCCTCCCTCGCCCTGTGTATGAAAACAAAGTATGGTCTTTTAATACACAACTAGAATTAAAACTGCTGTCGTGATCCGGAATATAAACAACTCAGCCGTTTCCTTTTAAGTTTCCTTTTTATTATGATATTGAGTAACGGTGGCAAAGCAAATGAAATCGGTCATGTTGTCCCAGTTGGGAAATTGTATATGCATGATAATGACAATGCACATATTTTAGCAACCCAAATCTTAATATAAATAGATATTATGTAAACATATAGATTTACGTAACACCCATTAACATATGTAAACACAATACGAGGTTAATCTGGAGCGAACGATAACAAAGCGAGAACGAGATATATTCACTTATAACAAGAGATCCCAGAGGGATCTTGGCGCCCACCTTTGTGCCATCTTCATTAGTTCTTTGTCAGTTCGATCTTTTCTCTTCTTTCCTCTAATCTGTTTGATCGAGTCATGTTAACAGTAAATGCACCTTGAGGTAACTTTTGATCTAAACTTAATACTGATGTGTATGAAAGCCAACCTTCAAAGTGAGTTTGTCATTTCACATATTTACTAGTACAGTACTTAATGTGAAAGAAATAGAATCGATCATTGCAATATGAGAAAGATCTGTTTAGTTCTTCTTTTAATCCATTTTGTTTTTATGATCAGTCTCAAAATATAACATACACAAC